AAAAATGGGAAAAATGAAACAAGTGACAAAGTTATAGTATGTGCATGTATAAATACACCACAATGAATTCTACCTTTTTTATATCTGTAAGGCACAAATTATAAACAAACAAACAAATAACTGAATGAATAAATAAAGAAAGACCAGTAGAGTAGAGGAAGGGGAATAACGAGAGGGAGGAAGAGAGGGAAAGAGAAGGCACTGGGGACTGAAATGGAGCAAATTCAATTCCATGCAGGTATGATTATGTCAGAATGAATCCAACTATGTCGTTAACTATAATGCACTAATAAAAACATTAAAAAATGCATGTTAGGTTTAAAGAGTTAGTTAATTGTGTGGTAATGTATTTGCAAGAATTTGCCGCTTTAAATTTTTTTTCACATGGCTGATTCCTGGTTGATAGACTCCTTCCTTTTTTTTCTTTATTTTTTCTCTATAGTCTTCCTGTCTATGTGTTATTTCATAAACTTGACTCTGGTTCTGTCTGTACCTTATAAACCCTCCCTATGACAAGCAATGTTTTCACCACTCCAGCTCTTCAGGAAATGAATTCTGCCACCAGCAAGGTACTGCCATTTTCACAAAAGAAAAAAGATTCAGGATCTCTCTTGCATCTTGTCTTTCTCTTATTAAATCTTGAGATCTGCTAGTTGGCAATGTTTCTGATCTTTTTACCAAGACTCGAAAGATTGGATAAGAAGTAATCAATAAAAAATGAAATGGTTTCTTCCCATATGGAGAGGAGAAACAAAGTGCCTATCACCTCTTGTCTTTATATAAGCTTCAGAGTAGAGAAAAAATAAGTTTAAAAGAAACTGAATTTCAGTTACTTCTTAACCCCAGAAATCTGGAATCTCCTACAAAGAACTGGATGACAAAAACAAACAAACAAACAAACAAAAAAAAAAAAAAACCAAAGCAAAACAGAAAAACCCTCTTTATTAAGACAATAAATTTAGAAAGTACAAATAAAGGATAGCAAACAATATTTAGCTCTGCTTCCCTCTTTTCTTAATTTAAGGAAGTCATCATGGGTAAAAATTACCACTACCTCTGAGGAAAAACCACTATTAATTAATTGTGCTGTAATTATCATGCCCCACATCTAAATATGAACTTGAAATCAGTTTTATCTCAGTACATATCTGAATCTCAACCACAGTTTCCACCAATGAGGATGACTTGTTCTGTTGTGACCCAGACCTTCCTTTTTATGCATATTCTAGGAAATCAGTGTCTTTATTACAAAGTTCCCACCTTAAGCTTCTGGAAAAGCAATGACCCTGTTAGCTCTCAGAGTACATTTTTTAGGTTGGAATCCTTCCCCTCAACTCTCTTCATGCATGCAAAATCCCCAGGCCTCAGTGCTGGTGCTTTCAAATGAATTCTGCCCTGCCAGTGCCTCCTCCTACTGTCAACTGTTCGATCACTAACCATCTGCATCTCCTGTTCTCTCTGACTAAAGTTCTACCTCCACTGGCTCTCTAAGAAATCACCAAATGTCTATGATATGGGAAAATTCACACATTCTGTGAATAAGAATAAAAGAACAATTGATTTTGCAACACTATCCAAAACACATTAATACAAATTTCTTCTGGTTTAACAAGAAATTATTATTGTATTTTATTTTATATATTTTATGTGTCCCACAGATCAGAAACATCCTCCATTGATAAGCAGCATGTAGTGGCTTTGGAGTCAAATGGATTTCAATCTTGGTTGAGTCATCTACTACAAGATCCTGGTTTAGCTATATATATCTTTTTTTCTTAGCCTTTGTTTCATCATGGGGCTAAAGATAAGAGTTTACACCTCTTTATCTGAAAATGTAAAAATAAATTATATGAACATGCTCTCTAGACTCCTAAGTGCTGTTTGTGAGAGACTATACAACTCACATAGAACAAATTAGGATTACTAAGAGGTGAGTAGCATGATAAAATAGTGCAAGTCATTCTTCTCAATCTTTTCTTTTTAAACAGCTTTCTTGAGCACTAATTTATTTCATAAATTCACTCACTTTTTAATAAAAGTAAATGGTTTTTAATATACTTACAGAATTGTAAAATTATCAACATATTCTAATTTTAGGAATTTTCACTACCCTCTCTCCAAGATGCCCCATACCTATTTTTGGCAGCTTCCTAGTTACACCTTCCCACCTCCGGCTCTTTGCCACAAGTAATGTACTTTCTGTCTGGATATTGTACCTCTCATATAATACATGTTCTTCTGTCACTGGCTCCCTTTACAGAGTATAGTGATTTTGAAGTCTGTCCATGTTTGGCATACATCAGTACTTCATTTCTTTTTGTTTCTTCAACTTTTTAGTTGTAGTAAAATACAGATGATATAAAATTTAACATCTAAGCCATATTTAAGCATATAGTTCAACAGAATTAAGTGCATCCATACTGTTGTGAAACTGTCAACACTAGCTCCAGAAATTTCTCATCTTGCAAAACTGAACACAAATACACATTAAGAAGTAGCTCCCTATTCTGATCTCCTCCATTACCCAATACCATTTTTCTTTCTGTCTCTATGAATATGACCACTCTGGGAATTTCATAAAATAGAATCATATAGTGTTTATCCTTTCCTGACTAGTTTCTTTCACTTTGCATAGTAAGATTCTCCCACGATGTAGCATATGTTAGAATTTCCTTCATTTTTAAGGCTAATATTTCATTATATGTACATACCACATTTTGCTTATCAGTTCATTCATCAGTGGACATCCGAGTTGCCTCCACAACCTAGCTATTGTTAATAATGCTATAACAAACGAGAATATTGGGATATATGGATATTCTCTGAGACTCAACTTTTAATTCCTTTGAATATATACCCAGAAGTGAAATTGCTGAATCACATGACTATTATTTTTTGAGGTGCTACAAAACTATTTTTCACAGTGGCTTCACCCTTTTACATTCCATCAAAGATGAACAAAGGATCCAATTTCTTCACATCTTTGCCAATCTTTGTTATTCTTTAATTTTTTAAATAGTAGCCATCCTAATAGGTATGAGTTGGAATCTTGTTATGGATTTCTTTTGCATTTTCTAAATGGTTAGAGATATTGAGTGCCTTTTCATGTGCTTATTGGCAATTTGTTTATTGTCTGTGGAGAAATTTCTGTGTAAGTTCTTTGTCTACTTTTAAGTTAGGTTGTTTTGTAGTTGTTGAGCTTGAAAAATGTCTGGTTTCTTCATTCCTTTTTTGAAGAATACTACTCCATTACATGATAGACTACATTTTATTTTCTGTTTCTAGCCTTTTTAAATTAGAAGGCCTTCTATAGTATTAGCATTACCATGAGAAGATAGCCAGTAAGTATCCTCATGTGATCATGACTGTAAGAAACACTGATTCAATGAATATTTATCAAACATCAACATCAGCAAAATGTCAAGCACAGCACGAGGCACCCACCCACTTTTATTGGGGTAGGGATATTAGAACTACAATACATACAAATATTCTGAATATCTCATACTTTTACCATTAACATATGCTGCAGAACTTTTATTCTTTATACCTGCAAGCATATAGTTTAAACAAGTCTTCAAATTGATGCAAATATTATGCCAGATTCTTTAAGCAAAGATTTCCTAAAGTATGAGCAAGAGAAAGATAGAAATCTCACAGGTATGGTTGATCAATCACTTTATCTGACAGTTCCTGCAAATGGATAGACACAAGAAGGTGAAAATAAATGTCCATGAACCTTGTACTATTTGCTCAATTTTTTTCCCAGAAGAATGTGAGACAAGAAAAAATAGATACACTGCAGTTGTATAGCATATGAAATGAATATAAAAGATAAAGAAGAGATGCAAAGTGTCTGAGTAGTTTTCTGAATAGACAATTCAGATGAAAAGCAGACCACCATGAACAAAGCCTTCACGTTATTCAGATAGAATGTGCAATTCCTTTAAATGATGCCATGCAATTAAACAGTTTTAAAAGATCCAAATATATTAACTCCCTCCCCAATCAATATGCTCATGCAGTCATACTTTCCTCCATTAGACAGGGAAGTAAATTAATGAAACAGAGGACTTCTATCTCTAATAGACCTTGATGATCAAAACTAAGACTTAAAAAAAAAAAGAAACAGCGTAATAACCAGAAGGGCTGAATAAAGAGCAACCCACCACCCTTCCCCTGCCACAACACATACAAACTCTTCAGCAGCTTTGGAAGGTCCTCAAACGTTCGACAGACAGGCCCTCCATATATGTCATAAGTCCACTTTATACTGCAAAATACATATTTCTACTTTTCTTTATCTCTTCTTCTTCATCTTGGCCTAGGACCCCAAGAAGTTCACTTGGAACACAATAAAAGCTTCCTAACCATCTCTTTGTTTCCCGTGCTATTGTGCCTCACATTCCATTTCAGTAGCAGCAAGCTCTATCTCCCTAAGATGTATATCAGATTGTATAGACCATCTGTTTGAAATCTTTCTATGGTCTTCTACTTCAGAATTTTCCAACACTGTCCCATGCTACAGCCACATCTTTCATCTCTCTTGACCTTGGCTCACAAAACTCCAACTATATTGGCCTTCTTTCAGTACCTCAATACCTCCCATCCTTGGTCTTTGGCACATACTGTTCCTTTAGTCTGGCACACTTGTCCCTGCCTACCTTTCCTATGACGAGGTCTTTTAAATCTCCCTTTCTCAGAAAGATTTTCCATACTAATCTATCTGAAGTGGCAGCCAAGTATTCATTCATATTTAATATTAGCATAATGCTGCTCTATTTCTTGGCATTCACTTTAATTTTCAATCATTTTTATTTGTCTGATTGTTCATTTCTTTATCACATGTAATGTACTGCCAGACCAAATGCTCCATCAGAGCCTATTTTTCTCATTTACCTTTGGACTCCCAGAACTTAGCACAATGACTGACATACTAGAGACACCAATAATTATTTACCAGGCAAGTATTTGAAGATGACTGTATTATCTAGGTTTACCTTTTTTTTTTCTGTTCCTCGTCTGTATTGGAGTCTTTCATCTCCTGTGGAAGAAACTGGTCTATTTTGTGGCAAGACCTGAAGCCAAAAATATATGTTGGATGATTAAAAACACAATTGACCCAATAAAGAATGGACAGAATCAGTAACTAAAGATACTGACTGACCCCAGAAAGACTGAATGCTGTATACATCATGAGTCTTCATCAATGATGTAGGCATTTTATTTTTTTTCTTTTATTTTTTCAAACTTCTTTCTGTGAATGGTTTAAAACCCTACTAAGATGCTCATTGGGCTGAGGGTATAGCTCAGTTGGTAGAGTGCTTGCCTTGCATGCACATAGGCCCTGGGTTCAGTCCCCAGCACACACACACACACACACCCCCAAAAAGGAAACACTCATTAATTTAGAGGTTGTTACTTTTATAATTCATTTGTAATTAAAATTAAAAACTCTCTAAAATGAACTCAATTAGTGAATTTGTAATTACTGTCAAAAATAACATTTTTTTCTTAAAGTTAAAAAGCTAAAAATATTCTAGGCACCATTTAACGTGTGTGTGTGTGTGTGTGTGTGTGTGTGTGTGTATAGAAATGCTCCTAGATTTATGATTAGGTTAAATAAACTGATCGTAAATTGAAAATATTGAATTTTAATTAAAATTGAATAGTCAATAAAATTGAAAAATAGTCAATAAAACTGAAAAGTCAAAAGTGCATCTCATGCACTTCACTTGACCTATCAAGCACTGTGCTTCATCAACACCTAAACGGTAGAGGCCCAGTGGTTTACCCTTGTGAGTTCATGGCTGACCAGGAGCTGTTGCCCAGCATAACACTGCCAGGGTTCCATACATATCTCAACTTGTTGCTATCTTCAGCAATTGAGACTGAATTGTTCCATGAGTCTTCTTAGCTTCTTAACCAATGAAAACTTTCCACTGTAGAATTACAGGGTGACACAGGACAGCCGAGAGAACTTCATCTTTTTGCTAAAATAGAACACAAGTACATTCTTAGTGACTCAGTGTCTGGGGGAAGGAAAACATCAATTAACATAAGTTATAAGACATAAAAGAAGCTAAGTTTTACTGCTTTCAATTGTCCAGAGAAGCTCTAGGAACATATTGCCAAGTGCTGGCCCTGCTGAAACGAATAAATTAGGATTGAAGAATGCTTTACAATTAACATATCAAACCTCCGCACAAGCAGTGATGTTTTTCTTTATGTCTCAATTACACTTATTTATAAGTAAGCTCTTCCTTGGTTCTTGTAAATGGACAGATCATTACCTCAGCTAAGTGTTTACAGTCTTCACTCTCCTCACCAGCTTGACCTCTTCGTGAAAAGGAAAGACAAAATTCCTTACCTATATTCCAGTTAGTAGGGAGTTGAATTTAGTAACTTTGAAAATCCCAACTCATGCTGGGGCATGTTAGGTAAGGTTCCCCAAAGCTTGAATTTCCACTGGTATTCAGAATGTGAGCTACAACATCGTTCTCTATTTCCCTTCACTAAACAATTTCTTTAGCACTAATCAGCACCCTTTAGAGCAGGGATTAGCAAATGTCTTAAATAAAGAGCCAGGTGGTAAATATTACAGGTTTTGTGGGCCAGGTGGTCTTTGCCACAACTACTCAGCTTTACTGGTTTGGTGGGAAAGCAGCCATAGAAAAGACATAAAAAAATGGTCTGGGTTCTAATAAAACTTTATTTGTCAAAATCTTGTGGTGGGCTGTATTTGCCTGGCAGGCCACAGTTTTTCAACATCTGCTTAGAGACATAATCTAAGGAGGATGGGGAATGCCTTTCCACAGTGGAAGCGCTGATCAGCATTCACCAAAGTAGAGCACATCATTGTAACTTAGTCCCTAAGAAGATATTGTGTCTTCATTTTTCTTTAAAAACTGTGTCTGGTATCATTTTAGGCCTTTTCATGGTTCCTTCTGTATATAATGAAAAATTGTTGGTCAATCCTATAAGCTAAAAGATAATGTATGATATCTTTATAATACTAAAGTTATCCTAACAATTTCAAATTCCTGTTGTCTTTTAGTCGTTATTTTTGATCATTTCCTTGAAGGTGACTAGGACAGCCTCTGGGAAACCTGTGTATTACAATTCACATAATAGTACTAAAGTCTCTCTAAAGAAGACCTTCAAGTGTAGATCAAAGTCACAAACAACTGCCCAGAAGGCAATACAGTTGCAAGAAGAGAAGCCACAGCTGAGAAAACAGCCATGTTTTAGAATAAATTGACCATAGGGCATTATAGAAGAGTCTTCATTGATTGAGAATATTTGCAATACAATGTGCTAACTCCATTAGCCAAGAGTGACATTACAAGACTGCTGTGCTGGCTCCCGGTAGCCAAGAGAGAATTGAGCAATAAAGGACAAATGTACATATAAATATATGCAGTTTTCTGAATGGACTGTTATATATGTATCCGATTTTCTTAGAAATTATTTTGGAGATGTATAGTATTAGATCAGAATTGTGCAAAAATAAAAGGGTCACATGTTATTACATTTTGTGAAAGTCATCTATTAGAGAAAAAACTTTATATCCATGGAATTGGCTAATACAATAGCTTTTAAAATGAAGAGAATATATTTAAATATATGTAAAAATGTACATTTAATACTTCAGAAGTTTATAGCCAGCCTGAATGTAACCATTTTAGAAAGAACCAGGTAATGCATAGATAAATACCTACATCTATTTTAGTAAGGAGCAGAGTTCAAATATGGCTTGCAGTATACTAGTAGATTTTTGTCCAAGTTTCAGATGAGGTGAATTAGGTGAGGTAGGCCAGAGATCACAACGCTTTCTCTAGAATCTTGTTGGACTGTTCAAGAAAAGCAATGACAGAGATTTAGCTATAGCTTATAACATTCTTCAGTATTTATCCTAAAGCATTAAATCCATTATACTATAAAAATACATGCATGCCATATCTATAGGAGCACAATTCGCAGTGGCCAAATTACGGAACCACATCAAATTTGGAACACACACACACACACACACACACACAAAGGTATGGGCTATAGGGCAAGTTTTACTATAGGGAGGATGGATAGAGTTTGATCTTAATCCCACTGACACATACATAAAGCACGAAAAGAGTGGCAGCACTTGAATATACGAAGAGGGAGAAGAGGTCAACATAACTGCAGTTAACTCCTATGATGATATCTGGATTCACTAAGATCATTCTCTAACATGCAGCCAATTCTTTCACTCTTCAAAAGAAACTTCAAATATCCCAACAAATATTTGAAATATTTGCTTTCAACTTTGAAAATAATAAAAAAAAATCTATTTCAAACTCTGAAAGGACTGTCTTGAACTGATAGTTAGTCCTCATTTTAAAGGTGAATTATGTAGAAGCAGGCTTATTCTAATGCTTCAACCAAGGGACACTGGGATGTAAAAGAACAATGGTTTTCCAACTAGCAGATTCATCTCAGAACCTGAGAGACTTGATTTGTCAGGCCTTCTTTTCCATTCCTTTGCTTCTCTTCTCTTTTAGTTCTTCAGACTATTCTAGAAACATAGATGCCCACTGAACATGTGTTTAACTTTGGCTCTGGCATTTCCCTCCATACCCACTTCCCCTCTCTCTATCCCCCTCCTTTTCCTTTTCCATTCCTATTCTCTTTTTATAGCCCCACCATCTCGTCTGTCTCACTTCTGTTCTTAGCACCCCCTTTCTATCCCCTTTGCCCTTCTCTGTACATCTTTGTCTTTTTCTGACTTCAAAGCTTCACAATGAAGCTGAAATATATTTGTAATTATTTCAGTCATTGGAGTGACTGAATTTATTTTCTGAACTTGGCTTTTAAAAGTAAATGAAGATAAGGTCACATATGTGTGTACATATGTACATACATGAATTTATAGTTTACACATACATGTACACACATATACATACATATAAAATGTTATGTTATTCTATAGAAGCAAAGACAACAAAATGTAGTTGCTTTTATGTACAGGACATCCCTTTGTTTTATTTTCTAGTTCTTCCTGTGGATCTTCCCCTCACTCAGCTATTCAGAAGTAGTACCTTGACCTATGAATCTGCTCCTGACCTTTCAAAAGATCAATACATAGTCACATTAGCCTTTTTTTTTTTTTTCATTTTGAAATGATCAGAAACTGGTGCCAAACTTTCCCGTTGCAAGCATGAACATTTAGGAGAGGTGAGAGGAAAGACCTATTTGGTCTTACATTTTACACAATTAAGCAACCTGCTGTCTTAGCCCAGCACACCAGAAAATATACCATGCCTCCTTGTGGTTTCTTTCTAATGTCATAATCTACTCCAGCTGTAAGCTGTCCAAACTTCCCTTCTATCTGGAGAGCCCAGGTTCTCTTGCATACTGTGGAGCTCTATCATATCACCATTTCTTATCTTTCAACCCATTTCTGGGCTTATTTATGTATGCAAAAGTGGAGTTTTTGTCCTCTGGGGTATTGGCAGGCACCCTGCGGTCTGAATCCTCTTGTCCTTGAACATTAGACACTCTGTTACCAATGAAAAGCCGCCAGAGAAATCATGTAGATCAGCAGTCTCAGAAATTCCACTTTTATCTTAGTTGATTAGCATGTTTTTTTTTTCTCTCTCTCTTCCTACTGTCAGCACAGAAAGATGTCAAGAAAAGGAAAATGTAAAGTTAATGCTGTTGGAAAGGCAATGGAGAATTATACAGTTCAGTTTGCAGGAGTAAAAAAGTCACATTCCTACTACTGGTGTATCTTCCACCAAAGATTATAGAGGTTTCCAGTAATATTTGAAAAGTGAAATTCTCTTGGATGAATTTTACTTTTCTATTATCTTATGATATAGGGATGTGTTGTACTATAGCACTACAGATTCTCTTCTTTGGGTGCCAAACCTCTTGTGCTAGGGACCTGTGTTAATTGCCTGCACATTCCTGCCTAAGTCCTCCCTGCAGTCTGCTCCTATCCCTTTCATTCATTTTGGTTCTTTTAAATGTCATGAGTAACCTCTGACACAGCTCCAGTCTCTCCTCAGTTTTTATCCTCCTCTTTATAGCATTGACACTGTTGAGCACCTGCTCCTTCTTTCTTAGTCTTCTCTTGGTTTCCATGGTACTGTTCTTTGCTCTATAACCTTTGTGAAGGATTCTTTGTTTTCATTGATGGATCTTCTCCCTCCTTCTACAACCAAGCTGTGGGTTTCACCAAGGCTATTATCTTAGCCTTCTGCTTGTCTTCATCTACATGTATTCATTTGTCCCATCATCTTATTTTCAATATGCATCCATACATCGTGTGTGTGTGTGTGTGTGTGTGTGTGTGTGTGTGTGTGTGTGTATACTCAAAGTTTATCTGTTTATTTTTCCTTCTCTCCGCCCACTTGGTACACTGTGATGGTGATGGTTAATTTTTAATGTTACCTTGATCGGGCTAAAGGACACGCAAATAGCTGATAAAACATTAATTTAGGGTAAGTCTGTGAAGGTGTGTAAAGAGATTAGCATTTAAATCAGTAGACTGAATAAAAAAAAATTCTCTCACCAATATGAGTGGATAGCCTCTAAGTGGTTGAGGGTCTAAATAGAACAAAAAGTCAGGAAGGGTGAATTTTCATCATCTGGAGCTGAGGCATTCATTTTTTTTGCCCTTAGACATCAGCAGTTCTGGTTCCAGGCTCATAGGACTTGAATTGGGAGTTGAATCTACCAAATGCAATACCCCAAAGCCAGTCTATCAAAAGATCTGACAACTTGAATGCATTCTACAAACTACCATATTAGTTTAAGGACCTCGGACACTTGAGTACTGCATTAAATTCAAATTCTTTTGCATGACTTTCAGGACTTTCCACATATGGCATTAATCTGTTTAATCTTGGTTTTCATGACTCTTCAATGTGGGTCATCCCTGCTGTTCAAGAAAATCTCTTTCATTCTGGATATGCAACTTCACCAACCTTTACATCAGTTCTACCTCTCCAGAGTTAGTGCTGTGGTTTTAGGTGGAACTTCTTTGCCTAGTCACTGTATCTATTAACTGTCTTGAAGGACAAATAATTGTGTGATAATTGAATATTGCCCAACAATAATCAGTGATTTTATAGGAAGTCCTTGTATCCCAGTGGTTAAGAATAGCCTTGAGAATGAGGGCTGTGCTGAAACCCTTGTTATGATAACAAAATCCAGGGCAAATTTGGGGAAGTTACTTACGTTAGCATGATCATTTTAAATGTATCTATCTTCACTATACTGAACCCAATTTCATAGTTTCTTTTAATGGATGGGTGCTGCAGTCTGGCTGGGCACAATTCAGGAGCCACTTATCAAAAGAAACGAACTTTATTTTTAGAACCACACATGCCAAACAAAACAGCTCCTCAGGAAAAACCCTCAGGTCCCAACTGCCTCCACCAGCTTCCCACAAGCCTCTCACACAAACACAAGCCTCACCACCTCCCACAATCCTCCTGCTCTTGAGGCTGATTGGCTGGGCCGCATGGGCTGAGCCAAAGAAGTCCCCCAATGAGCATCACCGCAGAGGAGCCAATCAGCTAGATGTTGCTGGGGCTGCTGTGAGCCAATCATCAGCTGGCAGTCTGAAAGGGTGGGGAAACAGCCCAATGAGCATCACCACAGAGGAGCCAATCAGATGTTGCTGAGGCCGCTGTGAGCCAATCATCAGCTGGCAGTCTGAAAGGCAAAGAACCTCACCCCCCTGCTGGTACAAAGACCTCTCCACAGGTGTGGCTGTATACTGGACGGATAGTCAGTGATGGGTAAGATCCAATTGCAGTGGTACAAACCTAAGACAGGAGGCTGACACCTTGAGGTCAGCTCATTGGATAACGGGTAAGGACCATATGTACTATTGGACAACTTAAGGCAGGCACGGTCCCTAAGCCACATGCTTGTTGTTTTAACAGAGGGGGAGATGTTGAGAGCCACAGCCGAAGGGGCCCCAGCAAACTTCCAGCTGACAGCAAACTTCCAGACTGCCAGCTGATGGATGGGAATAAGCAAATGGTGAGAATAAACAAAATAATAAGCATACATTGATGACTAGAAATTAATGAATTGTTGGAAACTGAAGGGACATACAGGCACATGATGGCAGGCAGACTGATGGTAACACAGGGTTTATTATTATATATTATATCCAAGCTGGAGTATAGTAATTAGAAAATGACTGGGAATATGTACATACACTCACATTATGTACAAATGTGTGTGTTTGTGTGTGTGTGTGGGGGGGGGAGTGTTGAATGAACTATACAGAATCCTCAAATCTGAAGTTTGAATCTAAGACTTAGTGAGTTTCTCAATTTAATATTTCTAAACAGTAAGTTTTTTGCTAAGCCAAGGAAAGCTTCTTGAGAAGCTGGCCTAGGTTCCTTCCTCATTATGTATCACAAAGAGTTCCTTGCAGCGTGTGACTGAGCAGAGAGGAAGAATCTTTGGCTTAGTTGCTTGGTATCATCATTTACTAGCTTGTTTCTATTCTCTATCACATAATAAGAGGTTTTCCTTAAAATAGTCCAGCAGTAATGCTTTACAAATGATTAGTTCCATGTAGTCCTTTAAGAAAGGACATAACAATTACAAAAATGTTTATGATACAACTTAAATGATTTCACAATACTTGTCCATCAAAGCATCTTCAACATTGACATTAATAATATATTTTCATTGCTTTTCTAATTACATGTAGACAACAAGTATTTCATAGCTATATGAAAAGATCTGGTACCTAGATAAAATTGTAAAATGAAACAAATTCCCATGGTACCCTCTACATATCTTCCTGAGTTCTTCTACCACATCTTACAAGTAACCACACCTTTCCTTTGTCTCACTGTTAAGCTGAGCTCCCAGGAAGCCCCCTCAATAGAGTATCTCACACAGGCCACCTTCTTCCAAAGTTTTTCAGAGTCCGTAGTCACAATTTCTAGTTTATGCCCCTGCTTTCTCTTTGCTTGCTTTTCCCGTTCCCTGTAATAGCTGAACAAAAACATCATCTGATTATCATAGTAAAACTATGCATACTGGAGTATGAATAGTTCAGAAGCTTAGTATTCTCAAACATACCTTGAAATGTTGGCTAATTAATGCAATTAAATCTCTAACTTTTGATCTGTCAAGAATCAGATTTGGACAGCTCATGCGTGTCCTCAATAGTCAAAAAGCTCATCTACACTTTATCATGAGGAGGAGGTTTATCACTTACTATGCTTCAAATGGCAAGCAGATATTAGCATTAATTGTTTCAAACAGCCATTGTAATGCTCCATTTAGTGATAAGAGGAAGGGGCTTAATGATGGGACTGCTTATGTGCCATCTTGTTTTGTCACTTCAATCTCCTAGATGTTTTATTTACAGATAACTTATTCGAGTACTGTTATATAAGATTATTAAAATAATCATAATAAGACATAGTTCCTTTTCTCAGAAGCCCCAGTTTTCTACTCTGATTGTTTTCTGGGGTGAGGATTAGCAAACACTTTTTGAAAAGGTCCAAATTATAAATATTTCAGGTTTTGCTGGCCAAGAGGCAAAATCAAGGATATTGTGTGGGTACTTATTACATAAGAGAAAACAAATTTTCATACATATTTGATTCATGAAATTTAAAAACCTACTTACAAACACAGAAATTTGAATTTCAAACAATTTTTATTTTTCACAAAATATTTTTAATTTTTCTCTAAATCATTTAAAAATGTAAAAACCATTCTTAGCTTATGAGTCTTCCAAAACAGGGAGAGAGGGATGGGGATAGAGGTGAGAATGATGAATTTGATTGTAGTTTTTCAAAATTTATATTCAGAAATAACTTAGTTATCCCAAATTTATTAATTCACATTTCTACCTTCAAAAGGAAATCAACATCAAACATAGTTCAGCTATGACCTACTAGCTTCATTAGATAATATAAAGGTTATATTGTATATGGAAAAAAGGCTCTCCAGTGTTTGCATGTCACAAAAAAAAATAAACTAAAAATTAAATCAGAAGAGAAAAATAAGAAAGGAGTATATATTGGCTCCAAATAAATAAATAAATAAATAAATAAAGCTGTGGTTTCAAGCAAAACCAGATGCAAGTTCAGAATTTTGTCTTTGTCTTCTCTCAGCTTTTCTCTCAGTGCAGATTTCATTGTCAGTCACTGCAAAAAGTCTTCTGCACATGGTGGAGAATACAACTACAAGCAGCTGAGGCTCACATATGCCAACATGTTCATCTTAAGAGGATGGTTTCTCTATCCTTGGTTCAGTATATAAAATCTCAGGATGGATATCTGTAATAGATGCTGTTAGCACTTCACCTAAATCCTCTCAGGGCCAGGGCCATTTTTCATGCATGAATCTCCCAGGGAGCTTTCACTCCAGCCAGCACCTGCATCTCTTTGTTAGAGGACTTGCCTTCAGGCAAGCTGGAGCCAGTTTAGCTATACACACAGATCACTAAGTGCTGGAAATCTATGTTCCTGGCAGGTATCCTTTAATCAATGACTGACAGGTGTGGAAATGCATCCGAGTTGGCTTACCCAAAAGTGAATTGTAGTCCAGTTTTTACAGCTTTCCTATGGGATTGAGTCAAAGTACCTGTGGAAAAAGGAGTTAACAGCAAGACTGAAACCTAGTCTTAAAAAGACTGGCTAAAGGTTTGCCCCTGGCTGGCTTTTGGGAATGTGATTTTGGAAGGTTTTCCATCATTTGCTGTTAAAAAAGTCATTGTATCTAACCTGTTTGTACAAACAATGAGGTTTATGCTGAACACCTGCTTTCATTTAGGTAGCTTGGAATTTGAGGATATGATAGACTGAGTATGCCAACATGACCAGCCCCCAGTAAAAGCCCTGAGCCTCTAGTGAGTTTTCCTGATTTGGCAAGATTGCATAAACTGTCAAAATTCATTTACTGTAGGAATTAAATATTTACATGACTCTTCTGGGAGATGACCCTCAAAAGCTTAATCCTCATGTTCTTTGGACTTCACTCCAGGTGCCTTTTCTCTATGCTGATGTTGCTTTGTATCTTTTCTCTGGGGGAAAAAAAAAATCACTGTCCTTCAATACAATTGTGTGCCGAATCCTCCTAGTGAACATTGGAACCCTGGCATAGCACCCTTCACAGTGCTCTTCTCCATACTGCAGCCTTGCATGACTTTCTCTCTTTCTTTATACCACTTTCCTCCTCCCTTCTTTTCTCTAATTTTTCTTGGAAATATTTCCTAAAAAAATCACTTTTTCCTCCTCCCCATTCAAGGTCCATTTGTGGGGAGCCCAGTCTAAGATTTTTTCAGTGCAATCCCTACATAAGTACTGTGATCAGGAAAATGAGGTGCAATTAAAGCTCAGACCCTGGACATGTGCTCATATCTGTAGCCAGGAAGAAAACGACTTTTCGCCATGACTAAGTGGGTGGAGGGCAAGTGCCAGACACACAAATCATAGCTTAATTACAGATAATATGAATCTTTTTCTAAGATATAAAGACTGATAGCTTTGTGAAAAATAGTTTTGAGGGAACAGGCTCACCTGAAAATGCCTTTCTTCTTATTGGCCTTTTTTTTTTTTTTTTTTTTTTGTGGTGCTGGGGATTGAACCCAGGGCCTTGTGCATGCAAGGCAAGCACTCTACCAATGATACCAGCTAAGCTATATCCCCAGCCACTTGTTGACCATTTTTTATAAAGCAAGATTTTATTATCACACGACTGCAGTTTATAAATCAGAAAAACATGAAAGTAGTATTGAAACGAAGAAGCTCATCATTTTGCAAGTCTTGCTAATGGCTAAGTGACTTGCTTCCAGCTTTTCAGCATCTAATTTGAGCTTGTGCCTGGAAAAAATGAAAAATTAATTTGTTTGCAAAATTTCAATGAAAACTCCAAAGAAGTTTGAAACTGTCTATCTGCCTTTCTTCTTCTTCTTCTTCTTTTTTCTCTAAGCAATTTATCAGTACAAGTTTCTCTTATGCACTTGGGAATCCATTTGTTTTAGTCAGCTTTGTTGCTGTTGTGACTAAAGGATATGACCAGCACAATTGTAGGGGAGGAAAATTTATTTGAGGGCTCACAGTTTCAGACGTCTTAGTCCAGAGAAGGCTGGCTCCATTCCTCAGGGTTTGAGATAAGGCAGAACATCATGGTAGAGTGTGTGGCAGAGGGAAGCAGCTTACATCATGGTGGTCAAGAAGCAAAGAGAAAGGGTCTAGCTCCAATTACAAAATGTATACCCATAGCCACGCCCCCAATTAACCACTTCCTCCAGCCACACCCCACCTGCCTCTAGTTACCACTCAGTTAATCCCATCAGGATTTAATTCACTGATTTGGTGAAGACTCCCACAATCTATTCATTTCTCCTCCAAACCTTCTTACATTGTC